GGCCTGTGTGGAACACAGTGCTGTGCTGTGAAGTCCTGAACAGCTGCACCACCAGCAGCCCTCTGGTGGTGCAACCCCACACTGCTGCCACAGGGCCCAGAGGACAAAGGCCTGTCCTGCAGGGCCTGGGCAACTGAAGAGGGAGGCAGGAAAGCTGGGAGCAGCTGCCACAGCTCCCAAAGCCCAGCTATGCCCAAGGGACTGAATTTCCCAGCCCCAAACTGCCAGTGTGGCTTCAGCCGGGTGTCCCCTTCTCACCATTGAGGGATCCACACTGAGCACAAGGAGGCCTCTGAGTGCCAGGCGTCGGCTCTCAGGGCACTGGTTGTGCAGGTGCCTTGCTAGGATAGGCAGGACACCCTCATGACATTTTCTCCCATCCAGATAGTCAAGGAGCTGGAAGGCAGAGAGCAGTGAGGTGGTGGCCGGGCGGGAGAAGCCCAGAGCCACCCAGGACCGTGCCCAGGGAGCAGCACAGGGCACAGGCACCAGCCTGGGCAGCTGCGGCTGTGAGAGGACAGAGAGGGCGGAGGCAGCTGGGCGAGGTAGCGCTCGCCACCAGGCTCACCTCAACAAGGAAGGCAAGTGCAGGGAGCTCCCAGCGGGGCTCCTCCCTGCTGAGCAGCCCAAGCAGGTGGGTTGCAATGTCAGAAAAGAAGGGGATCAAGAAACTGCGCATCTGCCTGTCAAGAAAAGAAAGGAGCCATTGAGCCTGAGCAGGGTGAGCAAAGGTCTCCCAGGACTGACTCCCAGAGGTCTGGTTTTTCCACAGAAGCCATGGACTGGATATGGGCACTTTGGGAGGTGGCTCCTCCTGTGCACCTGCCTCACATCCTTTTCCAAACTGCTTCTCCAGCCCTTGGTGCCAAGAACGTCTGGCCCATGACCCTGGGCCTCTGTAGGTTGCCCCGTGCCCCAGAAAGAGATGATGGTGGCAGCAGAGAGAAGGGTATCTCACCTGGCCAGCAGCCCCACTGCATAGTGGTGGGTGTCAGCATGGAGCAGGGTGTCCCAGCCACGCTTGCGCTCCACAGCCACCACCTCGTTCTCCCAGTGTAGACAGCAGAGCAGGGCCTTGATGGTCTGTACAGCAAATCTGTGTGCAGGGCAAATTTGGTCAGATCATGCTGGGAGCCCTGGCCCAAGCCCCAAGGGCATGGGAGAGAGGGAGGATTGGGATGGAGCACCTGTTGGGGTTGTTGGGAAGGTCATGTTGCCACTG